GAATAAAAAAAAAAGAGTAAGGTCTTCCTCTAATTCTCCCMAAGTGGAAGCAACAAAATTATTTCTTCTCTCTCCAGACAGCTTGTTTTTAATTTCTTTTAGTGCTGTGGAGTCCAGAAGTCAGCATGGGCAACATCTCATATCTTCATTAGCCTCCCAAGCATAAGCTCTAGAATATTTTCGTAAATCAACTATCCCACTTTTTGCCTATTTGATCTAGTCATGTAATAACCCCACATAGTTTTTCCCATGACACAACTCTGAATCAGAATTAAAGGTTCAAACAGATCCCTGGACCCAACCCTGACTCAAAATGCTACACTATTTCAAGGTGTCTAGAAGAGCTTCATATATTGATATTATCCCCTCACTGTGGGTCATGCATTTTTTCCAGTCACACAGATCTAGCCCACAGCACACAGTAATATTTATGATCTGTATACCTATGAGACAAACTACAATTTAATTTGATAGTTAGGCATTGCAGATTTGCTGTAGATATGTGGCTGCATCATGGCAACAACACATTTACAGGAGGCTTTTATCCCATCTGTAAGGACATTTTCTGAGACACTGCATATTCTARTCTCTACACATAATCATAGAATCTYAGAACGGTTTGGAGGTGACCTTAAACATCATCTAATTCAAACACCAATAATCACTGCACCCTTTCTTTCTCCTTTTATAGAAAAACTGGTTACCAGCAGGCAGAGTGGTTTGTAAAGGGAAATACAAAGACTTGCAAAACGCAGAACTTCCTTTGTGACTACCTAAGGACTCAGTTCTGGTGAGAATCAGCTCTTTCTTTTACCCTTATATGGCAATCCCACAAAAACCCGAAAGCAAATCAGGTGAGAAGCTGTGAAGGTGCAGCTCTAACAGCAGCCAATTACAGGCAGAGCTGAACAACATGGTTATAAAAGGGCATTGGGGGTAGGTTTGGACTCTACCTTTTAAAGTCAAAGGAATTTTGTGCTGAGCTCACCCTACAGATGATCAGTGGGCTGAGCCTACAACTAGTTTCATCAAATAACATTTTTGCAGGATTTCACTCRATGTGACTGCAGATGGCTTGTGAAACTTCATGTTTCTCCATCAAAACAGGAAACGCAGAGCCTAATGGCAKTAAAAAGGGGTGAAATTACTCTTGTGTTCACTAGACCCCAAAACATGGATGAAGGTCTTCTATAATTTAACTCTTTTAACTCAAATGTGACCTCTTTTGCAAGGGCTGGAGTTCTGCAATATAATGTAACTGAAATGCTGAGTAATAATGGGGAAGTGAGAGCAGYAGACGTGTTTCCTCCATGTGACTTACAGCAGTGCTTATCTGGACTCCAGCCTGCAAGAGGGTTGAAACCTAATGGCTTATTTTAAAGTATAATCCCAATCTCCCTTTCCCAGAAGGTGAATATACCCCAAAAATACCCTCCTGAAAAGTGCCTCTGGTGTGATATCACCATTTGTGGAGTTCTCAGATGCCTGTGGCTGAGAGGCCTGGTGTTCTGCTCATTGCATGTGTGAATGCAGCTAATTATAAGCTCTTTGGAACAGAAATCCTCTCTGTCTGCACAGTCTTAGGCACAGCAGGGTCCCTTTCTCAGCTGGCCTTCAGTGAGAACTCAGTGCAAGGTATGAATCATATCAAAGGTGAATCAGAATGATTCTGAATCACTGACACCAGAGGGTAACAACTTTAACATATGTATACGAGACTAATGAGCTGCAAAATTTCTCTGTTCCAACTCAAGAGAGAAGAATAAATATTTTTAAAGAAACTTATAGATAAGCAAGGTAAAAGGGATGTACTTGATATAAGCAAACAGCYGCTTCTATTGTTATCTTGAAATAATTTATTTTAACTGAAGGAGATTTACCTGAACTTGGGGACTTGAACTGAAATGAGGATTACCTGGTACTAAGRTCATCCATATTTTCTGTGGTCTTGGCAAACTAATAAAACCAAACCTACTCCAATTTATTCAAGTCAATGTATATAGTCTTATAAATAAAGTAGTTTGGGGTTTTGTGGTTTTGGTTTTTTCACTCTGCAATCAAATATACATCTATCACCAGTTCACAAAATTAGCCACAATTGTTTATAGACCCTCCTTGAGTTTTCTTCCTCTTTTCTAYACACCAGTATATTCTTGAATGTCCTTAAAAGGCATCTTAGTGTATTCTCTCTTTCTTACTGGCAGAAACAAAGCTCTCGAGCCACTTAACCAACTCTGCTGAGTATCTGAAAATACACATGAGGAAGTGACAACTCATTTAAGGAGAGCTGCGAATTGCTGCCCCTGTGCACCCCTGTGTTTAGCCTCTGACCTGGAAATTCCCCCGCAACAGGAGCATAATCTGTGCGATTTAGTGCAAATAACTTGTGGCTTTAAGGGCAGGTTACCCCGCSGTTTACAGCCTAATGTCACAGGCAATGACAAAACGCCATCCAGGAGCAGCAGGAAGCTGCAGGTAGATTGATGGGCAGGGCAAATAAACCCACAGTTCACAGTCACCTCTGTCACAAACGGGCAAGACTTGAACTAAAGAGGATAAATTTGAGCTAAGCCAAGCCAGGTACCTTTCAGTAGCCTTTGAGTGATTCTGAGCTCATGGTTGGAGGAAAGATGTCATGAAATCATCGCATGTTTGTGGAGATGATASTGGTCAATCAGCTTTGTCTGGCTGGACGTCAGTTTTAATGAAAGGTCAGTTAGACTCCAGTCTTGCATTTCCAGACTGAAAAGAGATCCTACCGAAAGAGATAAAATGTGAAACACAATCCATAAAACAAATAAACATAAAAATCCAATTGCAAGTGAAGCAATACATCCACAGAAACTCTAACCTTTAAAAATAAACTCATGAAGATAAAGTTAACCTGAATGAAAACACTGTTTTTCTCATTCTGCATGTTCCACTTTTCTCCTTAGGCACCAACTGGAAGTTCATTAATGCTGACAGAAATCAAACACACAGTAGACATTTCTAGGACCTGCTTATGTAGCYCAAGGAGGGAGCTCAAAAAGAACTGAGTTTTTTCCTCATGGTCATTACAGAGAGTTCACGGGAAAGGGATGAACTAATTTATTACACAAAGTTTTACCTCTGCTCACACGCAGAGTAACCCGGGGAATCCAAACCCACTCGGAGCACGCTGCAGCCCGCATTGAGGGCTCCACAGCGAACTTTCTAAACATGCGATGCCATCGTGTGGGCAAAGCCGTCTCCAGCAGCTTCAGAGGAATTTAATCGAATCCTAGAATGTTTTGAGTTGTTTTGGATTAAAATGATCATCTCGTCTCTGCTAGGGGCAGGGACAACTTYCACTAGCCCAGRTTGCGTTCACATCATATGAACATCCCATTAATTCCTTGTTGACCCTGCTAATACAAGCTGGGTAATTCCTGTGCCTCTAGTGGTGACCAGAGCGAATCTGAAACAGTATTCACCCTTAGAATTCTCATCAATGTCTTTCTAACTCTGAGCTGCAAACAGGAAGAATATTCTACAGGTTTTCATGAAATTTTTCATCCACGAAGGTTAAAAAACCCCACAATTAAAAAGCGTGTTTTAACGTTACCAAGAAAACCAACCAGAGTAAGACAAAGCATGGCCAAAAATTGTGTCACTGCTGTGAAGGTAAAGCCCTTGGCCTGTCACAGAAACCAAACCCTGTGGCTGAAAGAACAATGGGAGTAATATAAATTAGATGGAAAGGTGTCAACCCCCCAGAAAAGTGAGTTCTGGGATCAGAGTTTTGCAGCCACCGAGGCTATAATTTTTCTCCCARATATTCATATACCTGACTGAAGGCAATGACCTTGCATTCATCTCTCAGCCCATGTACAGCATTTTTACTTCTCAGCCTCAGACCAGCCTGATTTTGCCAGTAAGGAGACAGAAATKGAACCAATTCATTGAGAAATCGCTGTGTTTTCTCTCCACTCCCCATTGCCATTGAAATTCATCAGAGCCCGAGTGTTTACCCTGAAAGTGACCTGGTTGTTTGTATTTATTACACACAGCTTTTTCTGGCTGTATTTATTACACACAGCTTTTCCTGGTTCTTTTGTATTTATTACACACAGATTTTCCTGGCCGTTTTTATTTATTACACGCAGCTTTTCCTGGTTCTTTTGCATTTATTGCACACAGATTTTCCCGGCTGTTTTTATTTATTACACACAGCTTTTCCTGGTGGTTTGTATTTATTACACATAACTTTTCCTGGTTGTATTTATTACACACAGCTTTTCCTGGTTCTTTTGTATTTATTACACACAGATTTTCCTGTCTTTTTTTTCATTTATTACACACAGCTTTTCTCTTCTGTGTGTAATAGTCTGCGAGCTGCTTCCAGCACAGATGAGGGCCAGCAACACCTTCTCCCGTAGACCTTCCCGAGATATTTTTTGGGATGCTTTTTAAAATGCTTGAGCACAGCACCTCAGCCCTGACAGGAACTAGGGGGGTTGTTGCTCTGTCCCAGCTACAGATCTGAATTTTTACTTTCTTTTTGAAACATATTTTAGGGCTAGGGTGGCTGAGGGAAAAGGGATAMCTCAGGAAGAAGGGTCTCCTCAGGGAAGGGAGTTCACTGGAAAAGCAGGATATTCTCAGGGTTCCCTAAAGGAGAAGAGTCCCCTCAGGGTGGAAGGTTCCCTCAAAAACGTGGATCCCCTMAAGGTGCAGACTTCCCTCAAAAAGGAGGGTTTCCTCAGGGAGAAGGGTTACCTCAAGAGGAAGGATCTCCTCAGGGAAAAGTCTCCTTAGAGAGAAGGGTTCCCTCAAGGCTGAGGGTGCCCTCAGGGAGGAATGGCCGCCGCGGCCTCCGGAACTCTCAGGCTGCCTTCTGTACCTTCCACAGCGATCTGCAGCAGCGACAACACACTCACCCTTCCCTTCCCGGCTTTCCTCCATCCTTTTCCTGCTCCATTCCGTCCCTCCCTCTCCGCGGCCSAGGCCCGGCCCCGCTCCCCGCGCTCCGCCCCGGCCGGGCGGGCTGAGGGGCCGGATGGCGCCGGCCGGGCCCGGGCCGCTGTCACCGTGCGGGGCTATCGGGGCAGAGAGGGGTTGGTGTCACAGTCCTGGGCCATCGGGACGGAAAAGGGCCGGTGTCACAGCGCGGGTTCATCGGGGCGGAAAAGGGCCGGTGTCACAGTTCGGGGCTATCGGGGCGGAGAGACGCCGGGCCCGCCCTGCCGGTAAGCCAGGACCGTGCGGGGGGATCGCCTCAGCCTCCGCCTCATCCTCTCCCTCATCCCCTCCCTCATCCCCTCCCTCACCCTCCCTCATCCTCCCCCTCATCCTCCCCCTCATCCCCTGCCTCCTCCTCGTC